TTGTTTCCTTGTATTTTTTAACTTCTATATAAGCATTTTCTTTTTCTTTAATCTTTTCTACATTGAGCATTACATTTGCTTTATCTCTCTAGCAAACTCATTCTTTTATTTTTTTGTCAGCACTTGGTTCTTTTGTCTCTAGACTAAGTGCATTAATATTATTTGCTTTGCAGTTATATCTATTTTTGACTATTTGTATAAAAGAATTTTCTAGTATTTTACTTTCTAGTTTAGCAAACTAGCCTGCTTTTTTCCCTTTCAAACCTATACCACCTGCTAATTTGTATTGATTCTATATATATATTGTTTTGCCATTCTTTGCAATAAGTTGTAAAACTAAAATTAAACCCAGGCTACTTGCTTTCGTTTTCTTATAAGCCATGTTTAAACACTCAAAGATATATATAATTTTTTTCATCATTGCCATTTGTGTAATACCTAAATTCCAGCTCTTTGCAATTTCATTTTCTTCTATTACAAAGCTCAAAGTGTGTACTTGTTGCAATATGTTTATACCTAAGTTGCAACCTTTTGTTTCATCTTTTGCTAATACATTCTGATTTGTTAAGATACAGTTTAAAGATCCTGCTCTTATCTGGCCTTGCTTAAGCCTTCTTACTGATGATTCTTCTAATAAATCTGGTGTATTTAGTTTAACTAGTAACTCTGATATATGATGCTTCATGTATCTATTCTACAGACTCTTGAGATCTGTTATCTCTGGGTGTTTTGTTATTATATTCGCTGTTATAGAAAGCATCGACATTTTCCATTTTATTAGACGAATCATTGGTTGGTGTATTCGCCCACACTGTGCTTTAGTTAAATATAAGATCATTAATCTATATTCGAAAGTAGGTATAAGAATTGCATTGTTTATATATATAATCTGGCTTAGAGATATCTGTTTGTGCTTGAGTAGGCCTATGATTTTGCCTACTAAGCTTTTTGCTTTAAATATATCAGACTTTTTTTGGTTCTTGATTGATATCCAAACTCCTAAGAATCTTGTAGTTTCTTTAAGATCTTTTGCTATAATTTTGATTTTTGGATTGCCCATCCAAATTGCAAAATCTTTTGCATGCTTTTTTTTACCCGGTTTTAACACTATGAGTTCAGTCTTGTTCGATTTATTTCAATATCATTTAACTTATAAAACTCTTGAGCGATATTGATTGTACTTTGTATGCTTTCTTGACTGTTTGTCAACTATGTTGTGTTTTTGCATATTTTAACACTCTTACTCTAATATTCGCTTCAGTGTTCATTGAGTTTATATGTGTTTCTGAGTTATGTATTTTGTAACCTAGCTTGGCTTTTTGTACTCTACAGAGCAAAAGATCATAAAAAATTCTCCAAACTAGTGGAAACAGTATTTCTCCTTGGTCTATACCATCTCTTGCTTTTATAAAATCTGTATTTCCAAACTCTGTTATAACACTAAGCTGCCTATTCTCATATAGTCGAAAGCTTTCTTTAGTGAGACCATACTAACCGAATTGAAGACTTTCTTTATATCTTAAAATATAACTCAGAGCTCTTTTTTCCTTTCTACTGCTTCTTCTATTATACTGTTTATTATATAAATAGAGGTCGATATACTTTTCTCAGACAAGCCTGCAAAGCTTGCTTCTTTTAATATACTATTTTTGCTTAGTACTTTATCTAGCCTTATTTGGAGTATTCGTGTTAGAACTTTTTTATATGTTTCAAGTAGTACTATAGATCTCATGTTGCTTAGATTATATTCCCAAAAGCTATTTTTGGGATTAGATATATTTGTCTAAGTTTTCACTTATCTGGAACCTTGCTTTGTCAAGAATTGTATTCATTAATAATAATATTTTCTCAATCACTTTGGGTAGTAATTTCTTAAATAGAATATAGCTAATATTTGAAATTTCTGGTGCTGTATCATTTCTGGTTTTATTCAGAGCTCGTGTTCATTCCTCTAGTATAAGAGGGTCTGTTACTTCTTTATATATCATAGGATCAATTTTTTTTTTTTGGCTTGTATTCTTCTTTCTATTTTGTTTTCATCTCTTTAAAATTTTGATTTCTTTTTCTAAATTGTTCTTCAAAGTGAAAAATTATTTGCCGTTTTACTCCTTTATTATTAATCAATTTCAGATTGTAAATTCTGGAATTCTCCTCTACCAGAACTCTGTCAATCATAATTTTGTTATATGGTTTATTTAGCAAACTTTGGAGTATTTTCTTTTTGTTTTTTTCTACCATACTAAACCTCAAATCTATTTTTTTCTAAATTTTATTTTATTTTTTTTTTCGCTCTTCATCACCTGCTTTCTTTTTAAGAATTTTACTCCAGTTTTTTAGTTCCTTTAATTAAATTTGACTCTACAACTCTGGTATTTGTGTAATTTGTGTCTGGTGTAGTTTATTTATTTCATTAATTCTCTTATTTAGACTTTCTTTCTCGTTAGAGTTAATCTTTGTAGAAGGCTTTTCTTATTTCTTTTTTGTAAATAATATAAGAACTTAATTTCTTTATAGATTTCTGACTTTGAAATTGATTTTTTTTTCTAAGTTTCAGTTTTTTTAATATTAACCCAAGGTATATATTCTAAAGCTATACTCATCATTGCGCTACTAATGTTGTCTCATTCAACATTAATATCTGTGGCTGTAATATGTAAGGTTTTCGTATTTTTGTCTTGATCTTTTGTGAAGAGAAGGTGCTCTACATGCATACTATATGCATCCCAGTCTTCTGGTGAAGCTTTATGATATAGGAAAACTCTTCTAGTTAGTTTTTCTTGATTTCTTCTACTAAGTTTTTTATATCTAAGTATTTTTTAATTCTAATATCACACATGCCATTTTGTGATTACTACCTGTTATTAAATTAATGTCTTTAATTAAAGCTTTGTTAAAAAATTCTTTTATCTCTTCTCCAATCCATATATAGTCAATTTTCGATGCTACTTCATCTTTTTGCCAGATATATTCTTTTTTGTATAGATTTAAATATCTATATGAGTCTATCATCTCTCTACTTTTCAACTATTCAAGAAGAGTTTCCTCAGCCCTTGATTTTTGTAGCCTGTATTACTTGTATCTAATCTTGTATTACATATTGCATTAAAATCTCCAAGTATGCCATATATATCAATCTTGTTTTTGCATATTTTTTGTACTACTATATATTGCACTTCCTTGTTAATTTTTTTATCTACTAGTGGCAAATATATTACCCATATCTGTATAATTGCTTTTTTAAAGAAAAACTCTAACTTTAACACACATGGATTGTATTTTCTGATTATAGCTAAATGTCTTAACCAATTCTTACTAACTAAAGCCTCTACTTCTGACTCTTTTAATTTATCTACTTCTTTTGTTGACTAAAAGCTTAGATACCCAAATTCTTCTATATCTATCTACCCTTTTCTTCATTTATGTTCGTTTCTGCTATTCTAATAATGTTTATACTCTCTTCTTTATCTAAAGCTACTAAATTTCTTAATTTTTGCCCATTTAGCTTCAAACTATTTATATTATAAAACTCTACACTAAGATGCTCATAACTATTACCCTTACTATTATTATTTTTCTATTTAAATCCTCACATTGTTTTTGTGTTTTGGGTTCACTTAAGGCAGAAGTGAGGATTTCTGCCATGCTTATATAACTTGATTTGCCCAAGATGCCTTTCAGAAATGCGATACAATTATATACTCTATTGCTTTAAACTTTTGTCTCATTTTTGCAAAGATTTTCTCTAACTTATTTGCTTCTTGCCTTTCAGTTTTTTTACTTTTCCAATTAGCGATTGGCAGTTTATTTGAACCTGTTACAAGCTCTAATTCTTGAAATAAATTTGTATTATCTATATTGGGGAGAGGCTTTCTAGTATTACTTCTGGTTTGTATGCTACCTCTTTCGCTATTTGTAAACACTTTATCGGTATGAATAATCTTCTTTAGGCTTTGATTTCTATTTGCTTGTTGCTTTCTTATGTGGTGTTTACTTTTGTATGTGCTTCTTTTTGAGTATTTTTTTCTTTCTTGATTCTCTTTATTATTAAAAAGGCAAATCTCTCCATATCGGTTATTTTCATCCCACTTTATACACAGGTTATAATAATATGGATTTGTTGATTTTGCTTTTTGTAAATTTGATATTGACACAAAATATATGAATGCTGCTTCTCTCTGATTGCTATTTCTGTTATCTAATATATATACTATTTTTACTTTAAAATTGCTGAGTTGACAAAGTAATGTTGCTTCACATGCATTATGTAGCACTCCTCTTGAATTTATTTCTGAGCCCTAGTTCTTTTTTGTTAAATTTGCTACTTGTTACTCTTCCAAGTATTTATAAGGAGGTGTTTTTTTTCTTCATTTGTACATCTAACTCTAACATGAGTAGCTTTACATTCTGCTGAGATACGCCACTCAATATCCTCTACAAATCTATATAATTTCAAGCATCTCTTTATATTCCCTGTTTTTGCCAATATAGATAAGTCCTAGATGGTTAGATTTACTTCTTTATGAAGAGCCTCTTTCTTGTTGTTTTTAAGATTTACTTCTAGTATAGTCTCCTGTTTAGAACTATTTTTATATATCTACATAGATTTATATATATCTTCACTTCTATCTAAAGTTGTATCTTCTCTTATTTTAACCTCTTTTTCATTCAGTTCTTCTCTTTTTTTGACTATACCTATCCATTCTTTCACTTCTTGTGTTGTTTAATCTTCTTGTCCAAACTTAGTATAAATTAATGTTGCTTTAGTTTTTGCATCTTCTGCATTATCTTTTTTTAATATTTCAATTTTACTCTCATTAAGATTCATTTCCACTAATCTTAGTAGTACTGCTTTTTCTTTTTTTATAGAAGTTATTTCTTCCGTATTATCTGCTATTTCATGTTTTTTTTTTAAGGCTTCTTCTTGGATACTTGGTTTTTTTCTTTTATATCAAGCTTTATTTTTGTTAAAGTATAAAGTATTTCTAATCTTTTCTTTTCAGCTTATGCTGACAACTTAACAGTTAGCATAGGCTCTCTATTGGACTGGCTTACTTTAAAACAAACATTTAAACTATACAAAGCAGCATTTAACGCAAAAATCAATAGAACTAAAACGAAACTGGTCCCTCTTACAGACATTGCACAGAGTGGAGCTCCTAGATGAGACCCACTTCTATAAAATTATGAAGCAGGATACTATCTCCATCTTAGGATACAACATTTTACCAAATGGCTATCCAGAAAAAAACTTCTAGTCTGCAACAATCGTTAAGCTAAAAATGATATTGGAAAAACTAGCTAACAGAAATCTTTCTTTAAAGGAAAAGATCCTGTTAGCTAAAATGTTTGTTCTCTTAAAAATTTGATACTCTGCATACCTATTGCCTCCAAACAAAAAGCATATTTCAGAGATTAATAAACTTATAACATTCTGGATTAAAGGAAACTCTAAAATACTTCCTAGATATTCAGTGTTTTAGCAGTCATATGACTAGGCGGGGTTGCAAGCTTTAGTGGTTAGAGACATGCTGGATACATGTCTAGCCTCGGTATGGCTAAAGCTCCTTACTTCAGACTCACTTTGGGCCAGATATAAAAGAGACAGAATAGACTTAATTCTAAAAGAAAACTAAAATATTTTAGTACTACAAGCTCTTCAAACAACCATAATTAGATCCATAGCCTGGTCTACGGAATGGAAGCCATACCTAGCAGTTTGAAAAAAGACAAATAGCATTATTAAAGCTACAACAAACTGGCCCTGGGACAAGGATAACATCCTAATAGAAAAACTAAAAAGGAACAAATTTTCGGTTAAAGAACTTCTAGACTTTCTGTGCAAAGCCTCATCACCAGCACTCTCTACTCACACATCCGAGCAACAAAAACATTTGAAATGGCTTACAATCAAAAAAGTAGAGAATAAAAAAAAGATATCTTCTGGCGCCTATTCCACAGAGCTCTTCTACTTGGCTATAGGCTCCGACATATAACTTCGGCTGAAACAGGTAACTGTTCATAGTGCATTGATAAAAGACAAACAGTGAAACACTTTGCTATCCAGTGTCCAATCAGCACTCAGATTTGAAAAATAGTATACAAATATCTAAAAACAACTCATAGATATGACCCTCCGACCATATTAGAAAAAATATTCAAGGTTTCGAATATCGGAGACCTCAGCTACTATACAGCAGCCCTTTGGCTTTACATTGTTACAATCTATAAAATTTGGTGTTGGTTTACTTCAGCAAAATGGTGGAAGAATTCTAGACCAGTCTCAGCAATAGAGACTATTATAAGCAAACGAATCTGTAAAGAGATTTGATTATTGCACTTTAATTTAATTAAAAATAGATCAATTGAAATTCAAAATATGTATAAATTTTTAAATACTATATAACTAAGATATACAACATTAATAAAGAGTGCCACTAGTGCCCCTAAGCCACTGACCTAGGGTTTTAATAAAAAATAAAAAAATATATATATATCTTTTCTCTTTATCTAGTTTAAGTCTTTCTTTTTTCATACTTGTTGTAACTTCAGTTACTTTACCAAGGAGCACCTGTTCCTCAATCAACAATTTTTCATTTTGATCAGCTTTATACAAGGCCCATTTATGAATTTCGATTGTGCTATGAATTGTTGTTATAAATTTTGGATCTTGATACCCAAGATATCTTGCCACGTTTCAATTTATATTTAATATAAATTTACTTTGCTTTGCTAGTATTTCTTGTTGTTTACTCTGTGATACCAAAGCAAAATCTTTAATTAGCATTAGATTCATGTGTTCAATATTTGTATATTATATTTGTGCTATGTGTATGTTGTGTGATTGTCTTTTCAAAATTTCTAGAATGTATGTTTGTTTTGCTGTATGTGAACACATTAGATTTTTGTTTGTTTTTTGATTACATGTCTTACAGTGATTTGCAATTCAGGGTCTAGGTGTATCCCTTGTATTGTAAACTTTGTTGTTGTTCTAACAAAGTATATATATTTTTAGATATCTTTCCTTTTTATTTAGACTATTTTGTGTTGTTTCCTATATCTAAAAATGTTTTATAACTAATTTTTCTTTTGCTGGAATTTGGTGCAAATAATTAGCGAAGAGAGTTCAATAAATATAATAGCAATTAAATTTTGAAATGTTTATAATTATTATATTTATATCTCTTAATTTATATTGCAGACAAATTTGCTTGCAAACTTTTTTTAAAATTTTAATTTTTTTAATAAATCTTAAATATTAATTTTAGCTATATATTTTATAAGTAAAATATTTAATTTTAGATTTGTTTTATAAACTTTGTTAAGAAAAATTTCTAAAATTACTAAAAAACTTTAG